ATCTGCTGCAAGTCTAAATGTTTTTTGAAGAAAATTGGAATCTTTTCACTGCAATATTGAGTTCGAAACAGCCAAGCCAACAATTTGTTTGCTTAACAAGTTTTCAGACTCCTTCATTTAAGGCCACAATGCTAACACAATGACTGTCTTCTTATACATATGACATCCCATTCATCAGAAGTTTTACAATGGCCCCAGGTTCTGAGCACATCTGAACACATAATGCAAAATCGAGCTCTCACACATTTAGTCATTCTGAATGCAGTTTTTAGCTAATGACCTATGTATCGGCAGGCAGCCATTAATGCTAGCTTGCTCTGAGTACATTGTACGGAAATGCTCTGACAATCAATCAGAAGCAGTTATGAAAGAACAATTATTCCTCAGTCAAAAAAGGGACAGAAATTATACTTTTCTCATAAGTGTTATTCGATAACTGGGGATGAGTGGTTAACAGTGCAGCCCCTTTAAATCTTCTGTTGCACATTTGTAATGGCTGTGCCTTTATTCCCTGACCACTTGTGACCTGGAGTTGTGCGTAGGAGTTCATGTCAGTGTTCCATCCCATCCTATACAGGCTTGTTTTTAACTGCTAAGAACTACTTAGAAATATAGCAGAGGTGTGGACTCGAGTCGCATGATTCAAGTGACAAGTTAATGACTTTGAGACTCAACCCAGATAGCACACATACATCTGGCCGACGTCGGCCTGAGGACGACACATCGGCCCTGAATTTATAACGTCTGACAAGCGTCGGCCGCATGGGCGGATATCTTTAAATTTAATACTCTTTTGTCCCAGCTCATCAAACGTCTCTGTTACGTCGGCTTTGGGTCGGCCCAGTGCCGTAGAATGTCTGCCCACATATGGAAGTCGCCGCAGAGGCAGGATTTCATCTCCGTGATGTTTGTTCGGAACTGAGCTCGCAGCACACAGCATGTTGGTTTCAGGTAAGCTAACTGGAATAAACTGGCAGAAAATAGCTTTGTTGTTTCTTCTGTGACCGTTAAAAGAGGTTCCTGGTGAGTGGTGAGGCATGACTGTGTGTATATAGCTTAGCACATGTCCCCACCAACTAACGTTATCTTTCGTTAGCTGTTAGCTAGTTTAGCGGTTTAGCTCATGTTATGCTAACAGGCTACAACTGTGGTGTTTTCATTTTATTTTCCCTAGTTGACGTTATCTGCTCATCTGGTTATCGTGAGCACTCGTTTTGGGTTAAAGTGGAAGTGCCCGGAGCTGCCACCCATGGTCCCGCGGCCCCCGGCCTGACCTCCAGGGCCCTGGACGTGTGCTCAAGTGTCTGGGAGAGGAGCGGAGAGGAGCACGGAGGTCAGGCGGGGCGGGCCAACACTGTGTATCCCAGAACAGGTGCTGAAGTGTCGGTGAGACCAGCAGAGAGGAGCGCAGAGGTGAAATAGTGAAGTTTAAGGATGCCTTCAGTATGTTGTTAATGTGATTTTATGGGCAATTTATCAGTCGAGGTCTCCTCCTCTGCAAAGCAAACTGACCCGGTGGCTACAGGTAATAGAGCATTTTTGAAACCACAGTTTTTCCAAGATGAAGGACTGATTGTTGAGCTGCTGTTAACAGTTAACGGAGTTAACGGATCCCGTTATTTAACCGTTTCAACACTAAATTAAGCAGAGTGACGGACCCAAAGCCTTCAATCTGGCTATAAGACAGCTGAAATGCTAAAAAAAAATACAGTGGTGAAGTTGGGATTTGTTTCTTGAAGTTATGTGCTCATCATCTTTTCTGTGTCTTGCAGGCTGCCAGGAGAAGTGGACTGGCCGTCAGATATTGTTTGTGGAAATTTGAAAATAAAGTTTGTCAAATTGACTTTTGTCTCTTCATTGTGCACACTTACACACAAAATAGGGTAACAGTCAGCTATTTTTGAATGTTAGCATTGATTTCTCACATTGGATGGTGAAATATTTATAGTTTGAAAGGTCCGACCTAAATGAATAAAGGTCGTAGTTAACGAAGCATATGAATATTAATGAAGGAACGCCTACTGAGTGCAGCTTATTTTATTGATCGTTTGAACGTCGCGTGGTGGTCATTTTCGATTAAAGGCCAACGTCTCAGCGACGTCTTGGCAATGAGCAAACGCTCTCCCTGCTACGTCTTAACGATCTAAACTTGATACATCGGGCCAACGTCGGCCAGATGTATGTGTGCTATCTGGGAACTTGACCAAAATCAACTTATACTTAAACACTACTGTGTTCCCATCACACGTTCCGAAGTGTAACTACAACACATAGCTAACATTAATGATGAAATGACCTATCAGACGCCGAAGTAAAGTCGACCTTTTACTGTTGTAGCCTCAGAAGACATTTGTACTCATTGTAGTATTGTAAAACTGGAAAATAAACACGAAATGGACAGAATTACAAGGTTTACTGTGCATGCAATCTGTAACATTTGCATTAGCATTTAGCTACTAGCTACTGTTACACATGGCTGGTTAGCTAGCCTACTGTAACATAGAGAAATATCTAAGTATAACGTCGAAATATTTATGAATTTAAAAGTAAAATGAGTAAGCTAAAATAAGCATTATACAACTCTGTTATGTACAAAAGAACTGTCAGCTTACAGACAAAGCATTTTCCAGAGCCAGAATGGTTAAGAAAGATTATTTCAGCTTGGAAACTCTACAGCTGCAGCATTCTGTCATATGCAATCTAACATTTCCTGGTTTACGTCTGTCATGTGACTAAGCCTGACCAATAGAAAAAAAATCAGCTACTAAATAAAGAAACTAGGCTTATAGAAATGCAATGACACTAAACACAGGAAAACTATATAACAAAACAGTATGCCATGACACACCCATGAACCTTTTGATATGAAAATACTTATAACCTTCACACAAAACCAAAGATTCAAAAGTATATAACTTAAAAAGTGTGCCACGGATCAATTAATTTCCGTAATCAGATGACACTTAATTCTCTTGATCCACTTTGTTTGAACCATCCGATCACACTCTTAAAATGACATTATGTCTGGTGAACAGTGCATTATGACTTGGACTCAATCACAGCTTCATAGCTTAGTAAGACGTCTTTAGGACTTCTTGCCTGTCTGGACTTGGTACTTGAGAGCAAAGACTTACTTGTGACTTGCAAAACAACGACTTGGTCCTACCTCTGTGATATATTCTTTTTTAACCATCATATTGTCAAACAACTGATTTGTAAATGCACCAATTACAGATCGAATTGATGCAGCGTGTTACAAGAACAAACAGATTTCAAATGCATTATGAACTCTATTAATAGACCTGTTGTTATAATGAAACAGCATTCTCCTGGCATCTTTTTGAAGTCCCAATTCCCTCAGTCATTTTGTTAGCCTAAATGTGCATCACAGTAGGTAATTGCTTGAAGCAGTGTCTTTAAATGGAGTTTGAATTAAGACAGCTAATGACAGCAGGTCAATAATCTGTTATTTGGATCCTTTGGCTGCTGCGCCTTAAAAGCTAATAATGAATTCATGAGTGGGCAAACCTGAGGTGATGCATCAACCCGCCATCCACCTTCTCAGATCATATCGGCTTCCAGTCAGGAAAGGTTTGAGTTGAGTTACAAGTCTCTTAGGTGAGTGTGCGGCGCATGCTGTGTTGGCGTTGTTAAAACCGCGATTGACAGGCTAAACCCATCCGGGGACCCGCTAAAAACAGAGGCTTAGTTCTTTTGTAGGGTCCCCTGGTCGACAGAAAACGGTTGATGAGCAAGATCTGCCCCAGAAATCAAAGCACCGTTGGGGGTGCGCTTGCGAGTCTTCCACTCATCAGACTGACACTCCTCTGCAAGATCACGAGGGAAGGGAGAGCAGGAAGACACACAATGAATTTGAACCAAGAGAAGGAGGTGTGTCATGAGTCCCCGGAGAGAGGCGTGGAGGGAACAGTAGTATGAGTGTGTATAAAAGAGTCAGTCAACAGCAGCGTTGACAAGAAAGGCTGGATCTTGCCGTTCTTGCGTAGGAGGGCAAATGCGTGAGAGAAGAAGCATATAAACACCTCAAAGGATGAGCACTGAGTGGAATATAAAGATGCTTGCTATCAATGGAGGAAGAAAAGAGTAGCAAACTGTCATTCATTCCCTTAACACTGAATACAGTGGGGCCACATTCAGACGACTCTACATCCTCACCCTCATTTATCACTTTTAGAAGCCATATGTTTCTATTCCTTTGAGAGCAGATAATGGCATTCTACCATTTGTACATATATGACCTTGTCCTTTCCAGTTGCTCATACATGAAGCTGAGCAAAAACACAATCAGACATGTATGCACACCGGCACTCTTTCTCCCGCACATATTTGCAAAGCAAACAAACAATACAGCTCTCAGCGTGTGTGTTTAGAAAGGCAAACAGCTTGTAGGGACGACTGGCCACAAAAATATGAGAAAAGAGACGAAGAACGTGTGCTCAGTTGTCGCCGAGATTATAATGTCACTTGGGAGCCGGCGCCCTGCACAAACACCCTGCTGTGCTCTATTTCAATAACTTTCCATAAACCAATCTAATTTCTCCTCCCTCCTACACTGTGCTTTAAGGAGATTTTTATAGGCTTTTGTTTGAGAAGCAGATAATTACTTATAAATCATAATAGTGCTGCCTGAATTGTAAAAGGTTTCGTAGCTTAGTGGCATGACTGTTTGCAGCAAATACATCTGTAAGCATTGTTTATAATGTGCCTGTAATGGCCTCGTTTTAGACTGTCACAATACAGATATTTATGTTATTCATTCAGAGATCAAATACACACAAACTGTAGTTTAATGCATGCAGCATTATTCAGTATCGTATTTGCCAGCAGAGCCGCACTGCATGTCACCTCTCATGACCTTCATTTTGAATTTCTTACACCTTACCTCCAACATGTTAATGGGAAATAATGTATAAAGACAGTCAAATAATGGCGCAGAAAATAGCCTTTAACGGTTTCTTCCTTTTGCTCTTTTTCTATAGGTCGCTTCTTCGTTGTGCTCTCTGAGTGTGAATGTGTGGCCTTGAGGTATTCCCGAGGGACCATATGGCACAATACCACACGATATAGGTAATGTTTGTCTCTTCCGTCCAGCTTTTCTGTTTAACATAGAAACAGTCTGAGGGCTGAAAACACCCCCTGAAAATTATTTGACCTTATCAAAGCATATGAAAAGCTACCTCAGGCCCAGGCAGGATATATTCACCGTTACAGAGGACGTTCAACACGATATAAGTGACAGAAACCTCAGGGGGAGGTGATAAACTTGAGCCTTTCACACCAGATTGGTGGATTTGGTTGGCGAATTCTTCTTCAACCCTGCTTTATCTTTCACCCAGGAGTGATACTTAGTACCTGGAAAACGAAACTTTGTGTGGTGTTTTGCATGAATTAGTAGTCCTGAAAACATATAAAATGGCCTCGGGAAAGAAAAATCTCCTACATGACATTGATGAATCAGTCAGGTCCATGCCTTCAGCTTATTATTACCGCTGTGCAAAACAAAAACAAATCAAACAAGCTAATAGCACCTCCCACTCACATTATGAGCCTGCATATTAAACTTTACACTGTATATTTATTTTTTCATTGTACTCACATAACGCCCTCATATTTTCAGCACAGTGAGCACCTACCTGCATCTGTAACCTCTCTCTTTGCTGGTAAAAAAGTAAAATAATACTGGTATTCCTGTACAACTGACTACCTATCATGATAGTGAAATTTAATATTCAATGTTAAAAACATATGCATATGCTATCTGAGCAGTATCTTTCTTGTTTTTATGGTGACTTTTATTGTGTAGGAACAGGGATCACACATTATTTGAGTATGACCTTCATATTAACAACAAGCTGAAGAGACACAAAGGTCATTTTACACAACATTAATAGTACTCAGCTTTTGAAAACAGTTGTATGATGTCACATGTGGTTTTGGAGGGAGCCTTTAAAACTCCTGAAAAACAACCCTGATGATGTCATCAGGCATTTCAGCTTGAACCCGAAGATTACTAGCCTGGAAATCCAAGATTTTGAGTCTGGTCCTCACTGATACACCCTTCCTACCCAAGGGGCGGCACTAACTGAGGCATTTCAAATGCCGCCGCACGCAATTGGGTAGCACAATAGCCAATAAGAGCAAAAAACAAGTTGACGTATTCATTGCACTAAGCCCCATTTTTTTGCCAACCAGTGGGGCTAACTGATATATTATGCTTTTGCTGTATCCCGTCAGCAAAACAGCAAAAAAAAGGTCCTTCCTGGAAGCGAAGGCTTCTAGGGTAGTCTTCTGTTCCTCTCTCAAGGAAAGAGATAGGTGTAGTTGGCTTAGCGTTTCTTCCAAAGCTAAACTGAATGGACACGGTCCTTCAGCAGTTGCATCTCACGTCAGCGTGTTGTCAGTTTGGCAGGTTTGATTGAATAGAGAAAAGAATATTTATTAACTTGTGGATACGATGGCTGGAGGTGAACAGAGTAAAGGAGGGTGCGACAATTCTGCCTAAAAGCACAGGAGGGAGCAGATTTAAAATTTTGCAGTAGCATCCTGATAGAGATTGTGGCAAAGTTTGATTGGATAACTAGAAGAGTTAACACCTATAGTCAGCTGATTAGAGGAAGCAGTGGGAGTGGGAGGGAGAGTGAATGGATGATTACAAAGAAAGTCTTACTGATTGAACTTATGCTGAGCTTTACTTATATTGCATTTCCAGCAGCAGCAGCTTTGTATACTGCTACCACACTTTCTTAATCTTCAAGTGGCATTGCTCTCCCATCCTCCCATATCTCCTCGCTCTCATCCTCTTGGAAAATAATTCAAGTGTCAGAATTTGAGGACAGAAACCACCTTTTTGTTGGACCGAGGCTCAGCTGTTTGGTCCTCATGGTGCGGGGGAGGTTTCACATCTGTAATTTTGCAGTTCACGGTGTTATGACAATAACCCTTTGGGGGCAATGGCCAATATTTCAGGAGATTCGGCGTAGCAAGCAGATATCCAGGCCAAGACTTCCTCTTCCTTGCACCAGTCATTTTAGCTTATCTCCATACACATATTTCTGATATCAGATATCAGAAAGATAAATGAAAAAACTAATTTAAAACTAAACTGTCATCAGACAATAGACTGACTGGTTCTGAAATTTCAGATAATGCGTTTCATCTCGCCAAACAGACTGTTTACCTGCCACTCAAACGTGGCCGGACTACAAACGGAAATTAGAATGCTTCCCATATCAAAATCTTGTCTCATTGCCTACAGATACTGCAGACATTTGCAGACATTTGTCTACAGAGATTATTTCAGGTTAAACTGAACAGTCACAAAGTCCAGACCAAACGAGGTGGGTGTGAAAGGCCCCTTAGACTCACAAACTTGGAACAAAACCTCTGCAAATTGGATGTTTGGAGTTCAAATGCATGGATATTTATCAGGCAGCTTAATGAAAAAATATGGTATTGGATGCATAATGGGATATGTATTCCCATCGATTGTGCTTGTTAAGTCAATTTACTAGAGGATGCACTCCACCGTCTGTGAAAACCCTATACAATGTCTCTCATGACAAAATTACATGAAATATGACAACAGATGCTGTTGGAGGCATGAATATTCAAGTGTTTATAGAAGCACCCAGTGTAGCATGTGATGGGGAGACAAAGTCTTGTCAAAGCATGGAGGCTTTCCAGCCAATTGTGTTCAAACTGCGTTCATTCTCGAGGCTTCGAGTGAACCTTAAGTGGCAATTTACAGTCAGAAATGACAAGTTGAGTCCTGAAGAAAATACTCCTAATATTAATTAGGTTGGTTTAATAGTTAGCTTGTCTTTTTGGGAAATACATTGTGAAATGCATTTGTTTTCTTGCAGAGACTAAGAGGAGAATATCAATACTACTCTCATTTCTGTATATGCAAAATATTAAGGTGGAACCAGCAGCTGATTAGCTTAGCTTAGCATTATGACTGGAAACAGGCAGAACAGTCAGCTTGGCTTTATGAAAAGGTTACAAAACCTACTTATCCACGTCTACATCTCACTTGTTGACTAGTCAAAGCACTTCAGAGCCAGGCTCGCTGTTTTCTATTTGTTTCCAGTTTATATGCTAAGCTAGGTATCTCCTGGCCCCAACCCTATATGTAATAGACACATATAGGTGTAAGAAATGTTAACATACTGTTCATGAATGCAGGGATTTATCCTACAAATTAGTATGCATGTAAAGCATGCAATCAGCCGAGGAGGTTGCAGGTGCAGCAGCATGTGAAGATGATGATGATGATGATGATGATGATGATGGGTTTGACACTGCGATCACAGCAGGACGCTCAGCTGTTTAACTGCCTCAAATGCATCAATAGCTGCCACTGATGTTGTCACAAGTGTAAAGCAGTGGCAGTTCAGAGCCTCAGTGGAAGCTGTCCTACATTCTTGACGAACACTTTTGATCACTTTGTTAAATCTGTCTGATGCACGAGATTCAAAGAGCGCTTTTAGGCTTTTGAAGTTTTATGCATTCCCACTCAAGGGGTTTGTGAAGGTCAGACAAATGTGAAAATTTTAAGAGGGTGTTTTGAGTATATGCAGAATAAATGTGCTTCCTGCTTGATTTTGTCTCTGACAACAAAACATTTGTACTTTTTTTGTGCAGTACTTTCGCCGGTTTGGTCACAGTCTTTCTAAACCTTGTGACAAAGCTAAAAAATGCTTGCACTCAGGCTGCGGGGGATTTATTTTGATCCAAAGTACGTCTAGCTCAGAGCATATAATACTTGAAAAGATTGAAGTGGTGTCTGGTTATTGTTGGCGCTCAGCTACACAGAAAAATGAAGGATATGAGAGAGAGGTAATGAAGAATAGAATCAAACTTGTATTAAAAGAATAAATCTGTGTTTTCTTGACCCTGAGATATACAGACTGGATTGGATAGTGCATCACTCTATTGCAGTCACTGTATGTGAACATAATATAAAGTGAGCAGTTTACAATAAAATGCCTCTCCTGGATGACTCATGAAAACGTCTCTTATGACGCCGAGAAGGTGCGTCACATATTTCCATTAACATCTAACTTTGGTGAAGAGTTGAACCGGAGGCTGAGAGAATGAAACACAGTCAGATTAAGACATATTTTTAGACCACAATGAATGAAAGCTTGAGAAATCATTTCTGACCAACAGTAAGGAGATCTGACAAGCTGAGACTCAATAAAGAAGTCGCTTTCCTCTAAGGAATGTCTCGGGGAAATCCATCATGCATTCTTCCAATTAGTTCCCCCCTTCATCCCAGGATTCTGCAAGTCTGATATCTTAATGAAAACACTTTGCAAATACACTGTAGATGTTAACTTTCAAATTACTGGGCATGCAGAGTGTGACAGGGCCCTCTGTTAAAGTCTGATAACATCAGCAGTTTTTTCTTTTACTTTATTGCATTTTTTTAAGGTATTTAAGTGTCAGACTTCAGAATTAAAAGGAAACCAAGGCCTGTAAACAGTGGTGTAGTGGTAGTTGATAAGGATGGTGTACTCCTAGGCAGGTGGGAAGTGGACATACTCTCATCTATATTCCACTGGCTTTTTGGTTGATAGGTGGGTATATGTGGGTATAATGTAAAGGGCCAGAAAAAAGAGGTGGGTAGACCTCTTATATATCCTTATACCCACCACTACACCACTTACACTACATGACCCTTAAAAAGGGACATTTCACCTCATTTGGACAATATACCTTTAGTGATAATATGTCAAAGCTCGTTCTGCTGCCCCCAAGTTGCCTAAAACCAATTAATGTAGGTTTAAGAAAAAAAAGTTCAGCATTTTAGAAAATATGCCTTTTAATTCTCTGTCTCCAAGTAAGACCAAAGGATTGAATGTCTGAGTTATGAGCTTTCATGAGGACATGGCTAACTTAGCATAAAGATGGAAAGAAACACCTAGCCTAACTCTGTCAAAGCCTCAAAAATACACCCACCCACACCTGTAGAGCTGATCAACAGGTATCTTGGTAGTTTAAACTGTTGACTGTGTACAAAGATGTATGGCATGATGGGTCCGCAATAGTGTTGTGTCGTTCGC